CCAGGGCCAACCGCTGGTGGCGGCAGCGGAGGCGGCGGCAGCTCCTGCTTGGCCTGCGCCGCCAAAACGGCCAAGCGCGCGTCCAGCGGCAGCGCCCCGGTCAGCGGAACGCCGGCTGGGAGGCGCGCGAGCAGGGCTTCCTGGCTCAGGCCTGCGGCGTGCAGCTCAGCGCGGCGAGCCGCTGCCCACTGGGGGCACTTCGAAGCGGTGCTCCTTGGTTTCTGCCGCGGCGCCGCAGTGCGGGCAGCGCGCGGGCCGGCCCCACTTCGCGGCCACCGTCTCCGTGACGACGTTGCCACTGAGCACCGCGCGGAGGGCGCCGGCCGCGTCTTGCGCCAGCTCCTCGCTCTCGAGCAAGCGGCGGGTGGCCCAGCGGTCGATTCCGCCGCCGACATGCCCGAGGTCGGCACGCCGCCCAGCCACCACGCGGGCCTCACGCCGCGACCAGGCCTCCAGCAGCGCCGCTTGAGTGTCCTGCAGCGGGCGGTGCTGCGGCCGCCAGCCGCCCGGGGCCCAAGGGACGCCCTGCCACAGCGTGACGTCGTCGCCAAGGCCGAGGTCTGCCATGTTGCGCCTGGCGGCAGCGAAGGGCCCCTGCTGCCCCCCGTGCCCGGCGTCCTCGGCGCCCGCCGCCTCGCGCCAGAGCTCGAGCGGGAAGCGCCGGCGGCGCATCGCCTTGGCGACCTGCCACAGCGGAGCCAGGGCGGCGACCGCGGCAGGATCGAGGCGCCAGCTCGGACTGAGCACGCCGAAGACCACCTCGGCGGCGGCACGCAGCCCACCCCGGCAGACGGCCTGGCGCGCGGCCGCCCGCAGGCCAGCCAGCTCGCGCGCCGGGGGGCGGCCGCGCGAAGAGTCGCACATGCCTGCGGACGTGCCCGCAGCCGCGCCGAGCAGGCATCTCTGCGGGAAGCCCACCGGCAATCGCGCGATGCGGGTGAAGCGCCCCGCCGCTGCCTGGGCTCTCGCGCCAGCGACCGCGCTGCGACATGCCCGCCCTGCTGTGGACACCACGCCGAGGTCGCGAATGCCGCAGCCGGCCGCGACCCCTGGGGTCTGCGTGCGGAGCCAGCTGCGGAGACTGGCTGAATTCGCGAATTGCCGGCTCTTGTCCCTGTTAAGACGCCAGTCCATGGCCACCTCAAACAGCGACGTCAGCCGGAGCGCCTCGCGCACAGCGTCGCCGACCTCGGCCGCCTCGTGGCCGGGCCCGCGGGCCCAGAGAATGAAGTCGTCGACGTACGCCCTCTGCTGGAGACGGTCGTCGAGTGCGCCAGCGCGCCGCTGCCAGGGCCGCGCGAGCACGCTGAGGAAGAAAACCGCTAATGGGCACCCTGGCAGCATGCCGCTGGACGGCGCCCACGGATCGCCGATGGCCCTACCGACCCGGACCCGCCGCCGCGTGGTGCAAGCCGCCAAGGCTGGCGCAACCGCCCACCCCGGCACCCCCGCTCGCCCCAGGATGGACGGCAAGGAATGGAGATCGACGCGGTCGTAGGCCCTGCGCCAATCCAGGGCGGCGCCGGCGATGCACTCAGCTAACCCAGAGGGCCGGGACTTGCTATAACAGCCGTCAGACGTTCGATTGATTGCTCAAGTCTTATAATAATACTTACTGCTTAAAATAAGACGCGCTGATTATAATAAGAAGTGGCTGCTTATTATAAACGTTGAATCTTCACAAGGCGCATATTTCGCCCTAGTCGCGTTTATTGCAGACACCATTATCATTATCGCTATATTATTGCACTGGGCGTTTTGGGAGAAAAAAGCGATTGCGATATGTATAATACCATGTATACAACAATGTTCGAAATGATTTCGTGTATCACATTGCACTTGTGCCGTCTTGGAGCCGTCTTGTGCCGTCTTGGGGCCATCTTGGGCGCGGTGCTTCGCCCTGGGGCATCCTAGCCGCATTGGTGGCATCTTCGGCTGTCTTGGAGTGCGTGCGCGCGTCACTTGTGCGCATTTGCTCGCGCGCTCGTGTGCGCTTGAGTGCGCGCGTGTGTGTGTGTGTGTGTGTGTGCGTGCGTGCGTGCGTGCGTGCGTGCGTGCGTGCGTGCGTGCGTGGCGTGTGTGTGTGTGTGCGTGTGTGCGTGTGTGCGTGTGTGCGTGTGTGCGTGTGTGCGTGTGTGCGTGTGTGCGTGTGTGCGTGTGTGCGTGTGTGCGTGTGTGCGTGTGTGCGTGTGTGCGTGTGTGCGTGTGTGCGTGTGTGCGTGTGTGCGTGTGAGCGTGTGCGCGTGTGCGCGTGTGCGCGTGTGCGCGTGTGCGCGTGTGCGCGTGTGCGCGTGTGCGCGTGTGCGCGTGTGCGCGTGTGCGCGTGTGCGCGTGTGCGCGTGTGCGTGTGAGTGTGCGTGTGCGTGTGCGTGTGCGTGTGCGTGTGCGTGTGCGTGTGCGTGTGCGTGAGCGTGAGCGTGTGCGTGTGCGTGTGCGTGTGCGTGTGCGTGTGCGTGTGCGTGTGCGTGTGCGTGTGCGTGTGCGTGTGCGTGTGCGTGTGCGTGTGCGTGTGCGTGTGCGTGTGCGTGTGCGTGTGCGTGTGCGTGTGCGTGTGCGCGTGCTATTCGAGTGCGTGTGCGTGTGCGCGTGCGCGTGCGGCGTTCGCGTGCGCGTGGCGCGTGCGCGTGCGCGTGCGCTTGCGCGTGCGCGTCGCGTTGCGCGTGCGCGTGCGCTGCGCGTGCGCGTGCGCGTGCGCGTGCGCGTGCGTGTGCGTGTGCGTATGCGTGTGCGCGTGCGCGTGCGCGTGCGCGTGCGCGTGCGCGAGCGCGTGCGCGTGCGCGTGCGCGTGCGCGAGCGCGTGCGCGTGCGCGTGCGCGTGCGCGTGCGCGTGCGCGTGCGCGTGCGCGTGCGCGTGCGCGTGCGCGTGCGCGTGCGCGTGCGCGTGCGCGTGCGCGTGCGCGTGGGCGTGGGCGTGGGCGTGGGCGTGGGCGTGGGCGTGGGCGTGGGCGTGTGTGTGTGTGTGTGTGTCTGTGTGTGTGTGTGCGTGCGTGCGTGCGTGCGTGCGTGCGTGCGTGCGTGCGCGCGTGCGCGCGTGCGTGCGTGCGTGCGTGCGTGCGTGTGAGCGCGCTTGCGCGCGTGTGCGCGCGCGTGGGTCTGCGCGCTCGCGTGCGTGCGTGTGTGCGCGCGCGTTCGCGCGTGCGTGCTCGCGCGCGCGCGTGCGTGCATGTGCGCGCGTGCTCGCGTGGGCTGGGCGCGCCGCGCCGAGTCCGGCGCCGCTCGTCGCGGAGCCCTTGGCTCCGTCTCCCGCGCCGCCCTCGGCGCCGCCCACGGCGCCAGCGGCGATGGAACCGCCGCCGATGGCCTTGCAGGGCGCAGAGGCGGCAGAGCGGCTGCTCCGGGGAGGAGGCGGACCCCGCGGGGCGGGGCGGGGAAGGGGAGGGGCAAGGGAGAGAGTCAGGAAGGGGAAGGATGGAGGAAGGAGGGCAAGGAATGGGGAATGAACAGAAAATACATCGGGCGGGGCCCAGGGAAGGGGAAGGGAACGCGGGAGGGAATGGAAGGTAAGAAGTGGGGAAGGGACAGGATGGGATCGAGAGCGGGGTTGGAGGGGACGGGAGAGGGAAGGAGACGGCCGAACATTCAGGCCGCGGATCTCTCGCCCTGCACTGGGCGCGTTCTGCCCAGGATTTCGGGGAAAAAAGCATCCGACGCGTCATCGATGCGTCATCGACGCTGGCATCGATGACGCATCGACGGCGCCGAAGATTCTCAGGCGGGCCCAGCCGTCTCGACGAGGGGGCGAGCGATCCGCGACCTGAATCTTTGGCCCCTCTCGAGTGTCCCTCATGCCACTCTCTCCCTCGCCATGCTCTCCCACCGTCCTCAGGTATCATGTCCCCCCCACTCAGCCTTGCTCCATCCTCATCTGCTCACCTCACTCCTTACTCCTTATCCCTCGCTCCCCCCACTCCTCGTCCTCGCTCCTCACCCCTTCCTCGCCTCATCGTGCATAGCCATGTTGGCTGGCGCCATTCCTGGCGCAGGGCCATCGCGCGCTCGCGCGCGATGGCCGAGACGCGCGATCGCTGCGGCGACGCCAACGGCATCGCGCATGCATTAAGGCCATACGTCGCCGCAGAGTGGCTCACGCACGGGCGCAAGCCAGGAAAGGATAAGTTCAACGAGAACTGCGTGGAGGAGATCCACCGCCACGCGAAGGCGCCGTCGTCGTCGCCGCAAGTCGTCGTCGTCGGCCGTCGTCGCCCCTCGTCTGTCGCCGTCGACGGCGACGACGTCTGCCGCCGTCGACGGCGACATCGTTGACGACGTCGTCGACTTCCGACGCCGACGTCGACGATGATGTCGACGTCGTCGACGACGTCGGCGTCGCTCTCGAAGATGACCCTCGTCACGACCGGTGGTCGACGACGTCGACGACGACGACGTCGGCGACATCGTCGGCGGCGTCGTCGACGTCGACGGCGACAGACGTCGACGTCGTCGTCGTTGGCGGTCGACGACGTCGTCGCCGACGGACCAGTCGTACTCCAGGCGGTTGCCGCTCTGGAGGCAGTCTCGCCGAATCTGAGCCTGAACGAGTCGGCCTGCAAGCAGGCGTTCGAGCAGCTCGCGAAGGAGATTCCAACGATCAAGTCGCTGGACGCCGCGGCCATCGACGACTGGGCCGAGTCCCAGAGCCTCATGTTCTGGGTTTGCGAACCCACAGGAGCAGGAGCAGGAGGAATAACAGGGGGGAGCAGGAGGAAAAGGCAGGCGGAGGAGGGAGGAGGGTGACATATGGGAGCAGGTGACACAGGAAGGAGGAGGAAGGAGGAGGAGAGTTACCATCCTCCTCGACCTCGTCTAATCCCTCTCGGCCGCACTCCATCCGCAGCCTTACTCTTCACTCCTGATTCCTCGCTCCGTACTCCTCACCCCTCACTCCCTATCCTCATCCTCGCTCCTCGCGCCTTGCTCGCCTCATCCCCGATCCTCCGTCTATCGTCGCCCCCCCCCCCCCCCCTCCCCCGCGCCCCCCCCCTTTCCCGCCGCGCCCCCAGGCTTCGCAGCATGCTGCGCCACCTCTACGACCCGATTCGGCGAGAGCGCAACGAGGGCAAGGTGCCGCAGTGGCTCGGCCTGCTGCGCCAGAAGCAGGGCGCGGCGCCAGCGGCGGCAGCTCCACGGGCAACGCCTCGCCTGAGCCCACTGCGCAGCGATGCGAGTCTGGCGGCGGTCGAGTACAAGGTGACCTACGACCCCACGACGGCCACGGTCTTTCGGGAGACCAAGAGCGGCAAGCCCGAGTCGACGAAGGACATCTTCAGCAGGCCGCGCGCCAGGGGGCACCACATCATGATGGCGAAGTGGCCCGACGGCTACGAGGTAGAAGTCACGGACTTGACAGTCAGTGCGTGGAAGGGCCGACAGGAGACAGCTTCAGACGGGAAGAATGTCCTCAAGCTCTGGAGCGGTTCGACCGACGGCGGCGTGAAGGTCACGGCGGAGAAGAAGCAGCTGGACAAGAACAACCCTGGGGTGATCGTGAAGTTCGGCGGCTCGCAGATGGTGCAGATCAGCTTCAACTACGTGCCAGAGAGCGACGCTTGCGCTCACGCAGTCGCCTGGGCCAAGGGCGTGGTCTCAGGCAGGTTCGACCCCGACAGGGACCTCAAGCCGAAGAAGGAAAAGCTGGAGAGGTCGTTCGGCGCGGGGAAGCCAGGGGCGACCAAGAAGCGGCCTGCAGCTGCCGACAGCGGCGCCAAGGGCAAGAAGGCGCGCCCATCGGCGACTGGCTCTGCAGAGGAGGATAACGAGGAACATCCAGAGGCAGCCGCAGGAGAGGACGAGGGCCCAGGCGAGGACGAGGGCTCGGACGAGGAGGAGGATCCGCGAGCGTCTGAGGACGAGGGCGAAGAGGAGGAGGTGGGCGAAGCAGATGGGGCTGATGCCGAGGAGACTGATCCAAAGGCCGCGGAGGCTAAACCCGAGGCCTCGGGGAAAGAGGAGGACGAGGAGGCCGAGGCCAAGGCCGTCTGGAAGAAGCCCGCGGCGGCGAAGGTTGCAGCTAAGAGGCCAGCTGCTGCAACGGACGCGGAGGCCACGGATGAGGTCGCGGGGAAGGCTGCAGCTGCTGCAACGGGCGCGGAGGCCACGGATTAAAGAGCAGCTGCTGCAACGAGCGCTGAGGCCGAGGGCGCAGCGAGGCGCAGGGCGTCCTCGCCGCAGCTCGCGGCGCCTCCGGTGAGCGTGTTTACTGTCTGGCGCGCCTGCCAGAGTGCTCGAGCGGTTTAGCGGGCGCGTCCATCAGTTCTTTTTCCTCTCCCACCGCAAGTTATCTTTCTCTACCGTCGCCATCGCCCCATTCATTCTTTTCTATCTACACCCCTCTTCTATTCTATATCTACTAGACGCCTGGCCCCATTGTTTCCCACACGACACAAACACAACGCACAAGCACCGTCTCTCATCAGTCCTCACTTCTCTGCTCCCTCTCTCTCTCTCCCTCTCTCCTCTCTCTCTATCTCTCCTCTCTCTCTCCTATATATATATATATATATTTGCATCTCTCTCTCTCTCTCTCTCCTCTCTCTCTCTCGTTATCTCTATCTCTCCCCCTCTTCTGTCTCTGCCTCGCCCCTCGCTCTCTTTTTCTCTCTCTCTCTCTCTCTCTCTCGCTCTCTCCTCGATATACCTCTCTCTCTCTCTCGCGCTATACCTCTCTCTCTCTCTCTTCTCCCTCTCTCTCCCTCGCACTCCCATGTCTTTCCTCTCGCCTCTCACCTATCCCATGACTCTCTCACTCTCACATCTCTCACTGACCTCATCTATCTCATCTAATCTATCTCTTCTCATATATCTCATCTCTCTCTCTCTCTCTCTCTCTCTCTCTCTCTCTCTCTCTCTCTCTCTCTCACCCCCGCTTCAGTGTCCGCCCTGGGCTTTTGTATAGAGAGCGGCTGGCAGCACCGTAGAGTCGCGGGCGGCTGTGCGCCAGCCGCGATGCCCCCGTCTGCGCGCGCCAGTGCAATCACCTCCCGCCTCTCTCCACGTATCCTGGGCTATCCTCCTATTCCTCCTGGACCTCCTCACTCGCCACCTTGATCCCGTCAGCCCCCCATCGTCGCCCTCGTTCCGCCCCCGCCCCCATCGCCACTCGCGCCCCCCGCCCTCGTGATCGCGCCCCCCGCCCTCGTCCTCATCGCACTCCCATCGGCGTCGTCAGTGGGTCGGGGGGCGCCAGGCGCCTGATGAGGTAGATCAGGCAGGTCGTAGTACATGCCTCGGGTTGTCGGGGGGTGGTGGTGGGTCGCCGAGAGCAACGGGTAGAGATGGGAGCGTCGGGGCATGAGTCGGAGAGCACAGGGGCGGCGAGGGGCAATGGGGAGTGGGTGGATGAGGGAAGCACGACTGGGGATGTCATCGATGATGCATCGATGACGCATCGCTGACGCATCGGCGATGCATCGTTGCTGGGCAGGTAGGGGGAGTGATGTCGACCAGGAGACGGAGAGGGCGGAGGAGGAGGAGGAGGGCGATCGAGGAGGCGCGTTAGGATGAGGATGGTTGGGGCCGGGGGCTTGGGAGAGCTTGGGCGCGCGCGGCCGTTGCCACCCGCCGAGGCGGCGACGCCGACGCGGCGGCCCCTGCCGAGGCAGCGTCGCCAATGCCAGGCGCGCAGCGCCGCGGGGCAGGGGCAGGGGCAGTCTGGTAGCCAACTCCTGCTCTCCATCTCCCTCCCTCGTCCTGCCCCTCAGTTGTGTTCTCGTCGTCCCCCCCCACCTCTCTGCCCTCGTTTCCTTCTCTTTGCATGGGTGGGGGCAGGGTGATCAGGAGTAGTTGGAATATGATTATCGAAGACGCCTACGGCGAATCACCGCCGCCCCCTGCCCCTTCGGAAGCGCCGGTGCGGCCGACTGCTGTGGCCAGAGGTCTGCCAAGTTATTGGGCCATATGTTCCCCGAATCGGTCTTTACAGCCTTCGGGGAACACGTGGGGGAGGACGGGGAGGAGAGGAGAGATAGGAAGTGGGGGAATGGAGGAGGAGGTCTCTTGAGTGCCTTTTTGGCTACTCTGGGTTTATATTGGGCCACATGTGCGGTCTTGGAAGCATCTTGGGGGCCTCTTTGGATGCCTTGCGGCCTTCCTGTTCTGCCTGACGCCGTCTGGGCTTGGTTGGGGGCCTCTCTGTGGCCTC